CAAAGCCTAAGGGCCACAATACTGCTTAAGACCCAGTTGCCTCTTCGGCATGGGCAAAGTTCAGGAGTGGACTATGAGTCGCTCCCAAAGCCTAAAAGGCTACAATGTCACTTAAGACCCAGTCGCCTCTTCGGCATGGGCAAAGTCCAGGAGTGGACTACAAGTCGCTCCCAAAGCCTAAAGGCTACAATACTGCACAAGACCCGGCCGTCTCGTCGGCATGGACAAAATCAACAAAAGTGGACTATAAGTTGCTCCCAGAGCCAAAGGGCTACAATATTGAACTGGCAGAGACCCCGACACCTCACAGGCAGCTCGGCACCCGGTCAGCCCGACACCTCACAGGTAGCTCGGCACCCGGTCAGCCCGACGCCTCACAGGCAGCTCGGCACCCGATCAGCCCGACGCCTCACAGGCAGCTCGGCACCCGGTCAGCTCAACACCTCACAGGCATCTCGGCACCTGGTCAGCCCGACACCTCATAGAGGCCTCACCACATAAAACCTAGTTGCCTCTTCGGCATGGGCAAAATCAAGGAGTGGACTGCAAGTCGCTCCCAGAGCCTAAGGAATTGAATCAGCGCTTACGAGCTCGTCGACTTACGGGCCAAAAGGAGAAATCAACTCCCTTCGCCGAGTTACTTTCAGCTCGGGTGTGGGGGGCAAATGATGAGGGCGGATTTGGCCCTCCAATGACATTATGACACCTGGCACCTCATGCCAACTAAGTGCAGCCTCTTGACAACTAGGCAGCTCGCCACAAGCATCTCACCCTCATGTAGCCTGGCACCTCAGAACAACTAGGTGACACCTGGGACCACTTTGGCAACAACTTGCCTTTGCTAAGTTGATGGTGTCCCACTAGGCGTAACCTGGCACAGGCGCGGCCTGGCCCTGGCACAAGATGGCAGCCTGGCCATGGCGCGACCTGGCCCTGGCACGAGCTGGCAGCTTGGCCCTGACACGAGCTGGCAGCCTGGCCCTGGCACGAGCTGGCAGCCTAGCCCTGCCACGAGCTGGCGTCCTGGCCCAGACGCAACCTGGCAGCCTGGCCCAAGCACCGACCTGGCGGCCTGACACAGGCGCCAACCTGACAACCCTGAGGAGCTCACCACCGTACCCCGCATTTTACGGGATTGTGACTTGTAACGGCTATATTAGCTCAACCACTCCCCGAGTCAGGTGGAAATGGGCAACCTTACCAGTTGGTGGCTTTATCCCCACCTAACACGAAAGCAAGTCCCATCACAACGGGAATCCAAGAACTGCTCCACCTAACCCACGAGGACTCCAATATATTAAGACCTCACCTCCCAGGGGCAAAGGTATGCAAGAAAGGAGGATGGGTAACCTCTGCTCTCTAGCTCTCTCATTCCCTAATATCATTCTCAGCTCTCCACTAAGTGCTAACTTAGGCATCGGAGTGACCTCGCCGGGTTAGCCACCCCGGGTCCTCTGACATTTGGTTCCTTGCAGGCCTCTAAAAGAGCAACAAAGCTCATCAAGGCAGTTCGCCACCAGGCAGCTCATCAAGGTAGTTCACCACCAGGCAGTTCGCCACCAGGTAGCTCACCACTAGGCAGCTCGGCACCAGGTAGCTCGGCACCAGGTAGCTCGCCACTAGGTAGCTCGCCACCAGGGAGCTCCACTTCAGCCTCTGAGTCACAAGCCACTTGGGAGCAGACGAGATGACGAGGTACTCAGCCAAAAAATTGACACATCACGAAAAAATGATATGTGACCGGAAACGGTTACATCACTTATAGTCAAGAGATCTCAGTAAGTCACAAGACACAAAATAGCAGTAATCAATATACGGACAGAAATTTCCAGAGAGATCCCCAGTAAATCACAGAACACACAATAACAGTAATTACAAGACACAAAAATCCAAGGGTTTGAGTATTTCAGGTCTTTGGATTCTAAAATAAATAGAGTATGAATACAAGGTTGTTGAGAATGGTTTCACAATCCACATGTCACTAGACCTAAACAAAGTTAACAATAATTATAATAAGCAGTTCAATGGTTCAATGATCAAAATAAAATGAAATAAAATGAGACTATTAATTAAACAGGTTTAGGTCTTCCCTGTTAATTGGAGATGGACTGTTGCTTGTGTCAATAGGGGCTTTTTCTCCCACATATGACATCTGCACGTGTAAGGGGTTGAAGGTGGGCTGCAAGAGCCCAATTGTGAAGCTACATGAATAGTTAGAACTATTGTTATCCCAATGAGATCAAATGAATGAGAACATATGGGAGATAAAACTGTATTTCACTGGGTTGAATTAGAGAAGAAAATCTGCTGAGTTTATTGAGTAGATGCTGATCTGTCCAATGGAATCCTTACAAAAGGTTTTTAGCTAGGGTTTTAATAGAGATTCAAGGAAGAATGCGGGGGCTTGCCTCCAAAAAGAGGGGAGAAAAACAAGGGAGTGATTGTGGAGGGAGGGAGAGAGAAAAGGGGAGAAGAAGGAAAAGTTGAGAGAGAAAGAGGAAAGGAGAAGAAAGGAAAGAAAATAAAGAAAAAAAAAAGGAAAAGAGGGGAGGAAAAAAGAAGAGATGGTTTTCACTGTATATTTGTAAATTGAGATTTATCTGTATATTTGTAATAGTCAATGTACCCTCATATCAGTAATGAATGTTTAACATTCAGTGACATTTTCATTGATTTATTTTAATATTTATCCCCCCCCCATCAAATGAGAACAAGAATTAAGTCGAAAGTAACCCCCTTAGTTCCCAAATTCTGTTTATCAAGCTTGTTGAGTTTAACATCTAGTACTCTCACACTGGATTTTGATAATTGTTCCCAGACCTGGAGAACAAGGCAGCTATTTTTTCATGCCATCACTTCTTGGGACTAGTGTTTTCAACCTGCTGTTGACCTGGGGAGTTGAACCGTAAAACCTGTCACCTGGAGGTGAAGGTGGTTCAGTCCAATGCCAAACCTGTCATATGGGAAAAACTCACCAGTTGATTTGGTCAAAGAACAGTTGACCTGGATGGGTTGCATCATTGAACCGTTTAATGGGTCATGGTTTAACCAAACCCATACTTTGTTTACATTTTTTAGGCAAAGAAAAAAAAATGGAAAATAAAAACAACAAAGAAGCAATTTAGAACAAGTGCAGAGTTCAACACGCGCAGCAAATAAGTAAAGATAGCCACCAGATAAAGGGGTTGCCAGCAATGGAGAAGAATAGACATACATGTGTTCTTCATTAGTTTCTATCGGTACCAACATCCCTGATCACCCATGCCATTCAATGGCCAGATGCTCATTGCTGCTACCATCTTCTTGCTACCCACTTTCTCAGTTCGCCCCCTCCCCCCTCCCCAAACACTCTGCCAATCTCTTGCCTCCCACCTCATCTCTCTGGATATCCTCCCCACCACCCTTTCTCC